CAGACATTGGAAAGTGATTTTTCTGGCTCAATTATCAGCCAAATTAAAATAGATGTAGATCAGTATGTATTTATTTAAAATGTTATGCATTTAGCTATCTAAATTTGGCTGAGAAACGAGCCAGAAAAAAATTATATATAAAAAAATATTTATATTTTTACCTCTATATCTCTATATGTTTTGGGGAAGAAAAAACACTCCCACCACTCTTTTAGGCCTACTTTCCCAACGATCTTCTCTGCAAAACAATGAGCATAACCTTGGTAATTAATGCCATAACTTTGCTGAGTTATAAAATGAAAGCAACTACAGATACAAATATGCACCCGAATTTATTCTGCCTCTACCAATGTCCTGGCTAGGAGCACCCTCTTTCCCAAGGGATCGCCAAGTAACAGTTATAGAGACTACTCACCAGCTGTTCATAGCCTCCAAAGACAAACATGCTCTTTGCCAGGACACAAGCTGAGTGCCCATCTCTTGCTCCTGGGACCATTCCAGACACCTTTGGCGTGAACCACTTGTGCGTGTCTGAAACAAAACAGGAGGCAATGCTAAGAAAATACAGTACATGTTGGGATGGGATAGCTCTTTATTACTGTTCTTCATTTCTAAGACAGAAATTCTTCTCTCTTTCACGGACAGCACCTGCTTCTCTGGGGAGGCTGCAAGCTTCTTCAGGCAAGGCTGCAAGCTTCTTCAGGCAAGGCTACCTGCCTGAGCCTCCACAGAGGGGCACAGTGACAGATGTCTCGGCTCCTGGGTACGGCCACTGACTCTGCCCAACCTGACAAACAGCTCACGTTTTAAGTGTGAGTAGTACAGCACTGCTTGAGCAATGTTATTTTTATTGAATCTCTTGCAAAGCCTATTTGCGAGTCACTTATCAACCCTGCCTTTACAATTTTAATTACAATGAAGCAATGATGCTAAGCGGCTCAACTGACCTCACGGCGTGGAGATGCTGACTAACTGACTGAGGAAAAACAGCTCTTGGATCCAGGCAGAAGTCACTTAACCACAAGCTCACCACGTCAACAGAGCTACTGTGCACATCCCTACCTCTGCAGCACAGCTCTCCCTATCTTATCTGTTCCTCTTGTTACATTCTCATCCCCTCTTCAAGGTGAGCCTTCTTCACTCTCCACCCTTCATGGTTCCCTTTGCTCTGCTCCCCATGAGCCTGCACCAGCCAGATTCAGCCACTTAGCCTGCATGCTCCAGGGGCTGGCTTGATTTAGGGGAGGACTTTAAATCCAGCCAGAACCGTTCTCCATGCCAGGGCAACATGGAGCCAAGCCAGCGACTCACTGCCAAGCACAAACAGGCACCTGTCCCAAGAGCCCAGAGGGGCACAGATAAGCCTCGAGGCAGCAGGAGACATTCCCCCCACCCTCTCTAACTGCTGCGAGCTGCCAAGAGCAGGGCTTATTTCAGGAAGCAGTAACATCGGAGCCAAAGCAACATTCTTCACGAGGATAACTCCTCTGAACTTGGCCTGCAGCCACAGCTATCCACCTAGGTTCCAGCTGGAACCACACAAAGGGTCTTGCAAGGTCAACAGAATCCCTGGGCAGCCTCTAGTGAGAAAACTGCAGCAGCTACCAAGCTCCTTTCCTTCATGGGGCTCCTTCCAAGCCCAGTCACATGGTAGCAGCAAGAGCTCACCCAAGAGCAACATGTCAAATTAGAGATGGAAAAGACCGACCTGTGATATGCTCGGCACCCCAGGGGACAAAATTGCACTCAGCCAGGACTTCATCCAGCCTGATGTGACTCCTACAGTGGAACTTACACCACAAGCACAGGCCTGTGACTGCCAGCCTCACTTTCCAGGATTGGCAGGGAACAGGCACAGCATGTACAGACAGCTGCAGAGGGTTTGGACCAGGGCTGAATTCTGGCCTTTCTGTTAATTTTCACTTAATGCTAAAGCACTGGTGTTGGCAGAGAGACCAGGCAGCTCCCACTACAAGGCCTCTGCGTAGGCAGAAGTTTACTGGTGGCTTCCCAGTGGCACGTGTCAGGGGAAGGGGGAAACCCTGTGGCCAGAGAGCAGGTCCAAGCTGTGAGACATTTCCTGGCAAAGAAGGGAACACATGATCAAGCACCAGAGCAAGCAGTTTCCTTGGAAGTCCTGCAAGCCAGTTATTGGTCAGTATTTAGATGGACTTGCCTCCAGAATCCAGATGTACTCCCTTCCTTTCCTGACACTCCTGTCCACCCAGCTCCTGATGGTGCCTGTTCTCCCCCGGTGCTCCAGCAGCACTATGGAGAAGCCAACCTAAGGGCTCAAGGAGTTTATCTTTCAGGTTTATCTAACTTGACTCATGCCTTCCCTTATTTTGCCATCCTGTCCCTGAAGACTTCTGTGTTTTATTCTCCACCCTCCTTCATGCTGTCAGAAAGAAGGACCACATTGGAGAGGAACCACAATCTTCGAGAGCTCTAGCCCCTTCTCATGGCAACCTTCAGCCACAGTTAAGGAATAATAATAATACATCACACAGAGAGAATGCTTCAGTTGTAGTTACTATCAGAGAGAGCACACAAAGCTGACAGAAAAATTAAAACCAGTTTGACTATTAGACAAGCTTGGTAATCTCTGTTCAAAGGCTTTTAGAGTCAAGTGCGCAGACACACTGGCCACCCTGCTCCCTTTCTAAACCTGCTAAAACAGCCAGCAACACCAATTCCCCATTTGCACCATTTCCTCCAGACTGTCACTTTGTAGAGAGACCGAGGGACAGGAAAACAAGTTGGAGAGCAGTGTGGTGTGGCAGAGAGAAGGTCTCATCACGAGCAGCTGTGACAAGGAGGAGTGAGAAGCTGGAACTTACTGACATCAAAGGCATAGAGCACGTTGCAGGCTCCCTCAGTGTCGTTGCGACCACCCCATATGTAGACGGTGTCATCTATGAGCACTGCTGAGTGCCCATACCTCATGTAGGGCACCTCTCTCACATGGTCTTGGCTGTTTGTCCACACTGGAGGCAGCTTGATCCAGCGCAGAGACACTGAAAGCACAAGTTTGAGCCCATGTCAAATGCTAAGCCCACTCCATGTCATTACAGGTCACAACCCATCCCGCATGGTGCTTTTTTCCCCCCCTATGCCAAGGTGCAGCAGCAGTCTAGTAAGCAAGACAAAGCTGTGTCTGACCCTGAGTAGGAGCTAGTTAAGGAATACAGAAGCACAGTTTTCCACAGGCCTCCATCACAGATGAGACTAGAGGAAGTACTGGAGGACCAGAGGACTCTGAGCAGAAATAGGCTCCATTTTGCATCAATTACACTGAAGAGATTTCCACTCTGGCTCATCCTGGACTGCAAGTGAAGGTACAGCACACACTCATAAAATAAAAATAGGAAAAGGAAAAAGAAAAAGTGCAGAGGTGATAATGAATGCAGACACTACTTCAGGCTAGTGACATTTTTGAAGACACTCAAAGCTGGAAGAATGGGCAGCACAGGAATAATTCACTGCAGCAACATGCAAGGGAACACACCTGAAGGCATCAGTTGGACTTGGAGTAGTGCAGTTTAAGTAAAGCAATACAGCAGCTTTGTAGGAACAGGGTTTGTTTGCTTTTGCTTTGGTTTTTTTTTAAGCTTTAGATGAGACAGCTGTCTGTCTCCTTTACCCCTGTCCATACCCGAGTTCTCCCTGCTAACTTGTGTTACTAATAGGAGTTCCTTGTGATTACAGGTGCTCCTTCCTGGCAGCCTGCGTGTCACGTTCAACAGCAGCCAGAGGGGTCAACAGGTATTAGAGGGTTTAATGACAGTGCAAGAGTCACAGTGAGTATTACATGGCCATTACATAATAGCACCCAGGCACCCTCCCTTTACCATGCATACAGCCTCCAGTTTTGTTTTCAACACAGAGATAACACAAAGCATAGCAGAAAACAGTCTGCAGTTTCCCTGAAATACTAACATATGGAAATAGAAAGGGTGAGGCACCTTAAAAGGCGAGCACCTACGCCAGAGGCAGAAAGGGCACTGAGGAAGCACAGACAATGCTAAAGTCAAGCTAGATGGGATGTTTCCTACCTAAAACACAGTCGTCTTCTTTAGAAGACTGAAAGAGATCATCCAAAATCTGGTATCTGGGCTTAAGCACCAGAACCTGGCAATACTAACTGAGCAAGGGCTTGGGAAGCCAGCGTCACCTCTCACGTGGTGGCTGCAGCATCATGACACTTTAATATGTGGGAGTGGTAAGAAGGGAAGACAACGCAAGAGCATTCCTTTGGGCATGGTAATTATGCTTCCACCATAAGAGCAGTGCTCTACTGGCACGTTTTACAAGCTGCAATGTTCAACTGTCTTAAGCGCGAGAGCCCAGTCTCTCTGGATAGAGACAAATGTCTTTGTTCACAAGATTCGGAGCTACACTCCCCTCTACACTGTGAGCAGGTCACCCTGGCAGCCCTGTGTAACCAACGCCTTTATCCACTACTGCACAAGTCAGTCTTCGCCACAGTCAGATTTAGAGGAGTGAATTCACTGTATCTTACAGACAAACTAGTTTTATCTACATGCCATGTGTATGTTAGGAAAGTGTTCAGTGTGCTGTCCAGTCTGCAAAACTGTTCATTGGTTCTCTGCTCTTGCCTGATCCACCCAAGCATCTGTTTTCAACCCCCTGCCTAATTATAGGGAAATACTTCATGGACCAGCTCAATAACCTTTTCAGTTCAAAGAGCACTGAATCAAGAAATACAGCCTCTCCCAGCACGGTCATGGCTCCAACTCAGCCTCCTGACAGATACTGGCTACCCTACACAAACTGCTCCAGCTCCAGATGCTTTTCTAAGCCACATTGTGAATCCGCATGATGGCTGCTGCCAAAATGGGAAGGCCTCCATCCTAGCCACATGCCTCTACTGACTCCATCATGCTGGCAGCAGTTGTCAGCTGCACTCACAGGGAAACAAGCTCGGGAGACTAAACCTGGAGACTTAACCGAGTGCACTGTCTCCCACCCTACCCCTTCCACACTAGGGGCCGCTGAGCATGGTCATGCTGCAAACTGGATGGGGGACCTGAGCCAGCTAAACGCTGCTTCTTTGCACCTAGTTGAGTTAGCGTTCACAGAGAACAAGGACAAAACAAGCCATTGGCTACATGGTTACTTCTAGTGAGTCCTTATCCTAGCAGTCTGCTGACCTACAGCCCCTCTGTTCCCTGCCCCTGAAGCTGAAAATACAGGGCTGCACAAGGGAAGAGCTCCTATCTACACTGATAACTTTTCTGGAAATTAGAGTCAGACGGCATGTTACAGCGTGTAACATGTTAAGCAGCAGCGGGTAAGAAAACTAATAACCGAGCCTAGCAAGCCACTCCTTTGTGCACCACAAGGACAGATTTACCTGCATTGAAAACATGGACGTCAATCTGCCGCAGACTCTCATAGTCTTCTCCAGAACAATATCCGCCAAAGGAATAGACCTTGTGCCCGACGGCCACAGCCGCGTGGTTCACCCTCCGCGGCCCACCTTCCAAGTGCACTGCCCACCGTAGCATTCCTCCCTGCAAGGCAGTCTTCAGGGCCCCTAGCGACACAGCTGCATGCTTCCTGGGACACCTCGAAGTCACTTGGCTGCAACATAGAATCACAGAATGCTTTGGGTTGGAAGGGACCTTT